AGATGATCGCCCTTAGAGAAAGTGCCGACCAGCTGAGGAGACTTGTAAAGAAATATTCGAAAACACCAATAATTATCAAAAGTGAAGTAATACGTATCAACGAGATAATATCACAAATGGAGGTAAACATGAAAGAAAAAGAAATTTATCCAGCAGAAAAACAGGTAAGACAGCAGCAGCTCAAAAGTGACAAAACATATTGTGTAGTAGTAATAAAAAGAATAGTAATCACCAGATGTAGACAATTTGAACAGGATAATAGGTTTGTCTGATGCGAGAAAATTATTCGTGGGCCACTATGGACTGTGTGAACCGTCAAACATCTTACGTCAATTACAAACTTAAACGCTAATACTAATACAGTGGCGTGCATAGAAGGTTTTTATAAAAACTTTATCGCGTGCCAAATTCCATAGAATTTAATATTAATATTTATATTTTTTTTTTATTTAGATGGAGGAGAGACAATCAAGAATAGATACTTTACAGACCAATACAAACAGAGAAAGTAACCGTTTGAAAAGACGGGCTTCAGAAGACCAGCAATCGAATCATAATGTGGTTTTCAAAAAGATAATCGTTCAAAGTAACCCTTCGAAAAGTGTGCAAGAAATTATGGTGGAGAAGACTGACCAGCCTGCAATATTGTCCAAGGAGAAGGAGCAGTCCAGGAACTGCAATTTGCTTCCGGTTATTAGGGAAATCAATACTTGCATAGTAATTGACGATGACGAATCCCAACATGATCTAATGGTTGAGGCTAGGCGCATTAGAGACAATATGGAGTTCAATATGTACCCGGAGATCAAATACTCAATTCGAGATGGTTTCTTAGATTATGACCACAAATCGACGCCGAAAATGCGTTCGACCCTGATAAACTGGATGTCCGAAGTTCATCTGGATTTCAAGTTTTTACCCCTAACATTCCATCGGTCTGTGGCCTTTGTGGACAGATATTTGCAAGAAGATAAGAACATCGACCACGAGACATTACAGTTGGTGGGCACGGCAGCTATGTATTTAGCTATGTCTAATGGTGCAAATGCAAACGAAGAAAGTAAAAGGATAGATGTATCTGAGTTTGTTAACATTTGCGACAATTCGTTTAGTGCTACGGAAATTTTCTCCATGGTAAAAAATATTGTGTCGACACTATGGTG